CACCTTCAAGGACCATAACATTGTATCAATCGCATCTGCTAGAAAAATGACAGGATGGATAATGAGAACCTTCAAAACTAGGGATGCCAAGCCCATGAAGACACTCTTCAGGCAGCTTGTTCTATCTAGGCTGGAATATTGCTGCACACTAACACCACCTTTCAAGGCAGGTGAAATTGCTGACCTAGAAAATGTACAGAGAACCTTCACGGCGCACATAACTGAGATAAAACACCTCAATTACTGGAAGCGCTTGAAGTTCCTGAACCTGTACTCCCTGGAACGCAGGCCAGAGAGATACATGATTATATACTCCTGGGAAAGCCTAGAGGGACTAGTACCGAACTTGAACACGAAAATCACTCATTACGAAAGCAAAAGACTCGGCAGACGATGCAACATCCCCCCAATGAAAAGCAGGGGTGTCACTAGCACGTTAAGAGACAACACAGTAAGTGTCAGGGGCCCAAGACTGTTCAACTGCCTCCCAGCATACATAAGGGGGATTACCAATAGACCCCTGGCTGTCTTTAAGCAGGCACTGGACAAGCACCTAAAGTCGGTACCTGACCAGCCGGGCTGTGGCTCGTACATTGGATTGCGTGCAGCCAGCAGTAACAGCCTGGTTGATCAGGCTCTGATCCACCATGAGGCCTGGTCACAGACCGGGCCGCCGAGGCGTTGACCACTGGAACTCTCTCCATGTAAACTCCAGATATATGTGCAAAACAACCACTGTGAAAGAATAGTGAAATTCGAAGCGCTTTGTGACTACTCACATTATCAAGGAACAATGAAAGTAATGCATCAAAGGAAGGCATATAAAGGGTCTAGACCACACCTCACTATCACATCCCACAACAACGCAACACCTTACACGCGACAACAAGCGACAACACGCGACTCATAAGAAAGTGAACACTGCAGCAGGCCTGCTGGCCCAACTAGACAGGTCCTTCATGGCAACCCACAAACTATTCTACCCAGGAATTGAGATTTATTATTTGTCCAAAGTATTATTAAATTCTTCCCAAATTCTGTTAATTATAAATGGATCTAATTTATATAAACCAAAGGAAATATTCATATTATTTTCAAAACTGCTTTTTATGAAACAAGATTCAATTATATTTCTGTCAACCATGGACTTGCTTGATACTACTTTCTCAACTTTTTGAAAATCAATTGGACGGTTAAAATCTCTTACATGAATAAATAGAGCATTTGAATCTTGCCCAGTTCTAATGCTATATTTATGTTGTTTTAATCTTAGTTCGAGATTTTTACCAGTTTGACCGTAATAAACTTTATCGCAAATTTTACAAGGAATCTTATAGACACATCCGTCAGCATTTTGTGGGGAATTCTTTATCAAAAGTTTTTTTACTGTATCAAGATTTTTAAATACAACTTTGATAATAAAAGTCTTAAGAAGAGAAGGCATATCAACCAAGTTTTGATGGTAAGGGAGAACCAACATATTTTTAGTTGAATAAAGTTGGTTGTCCCTTTTTTGGATTGTAAAAATTATTTCTAGCAATTTTAATAGATTTATCAATTACTTTTCTTGGGTATTTCAGACCATTAGCTATTTCATAAATTTTGGATATTTCTTCATCTATGAACTCTGGACTACAAATACGCAAAGGTCTCAAAAACATTGATGATAATGAATTTAAATTTAAAATTTACAGAAAACCTACAAATAACTGTTCCTATGTACACTATTATTCTTCGCATCAAGATAAAGTTAAACTGTCTGTTTTCTCATCAATGTTTTTGAGAGCTTTACGAATTTGTAGTCCAGAGTTCATAGATGAAGAAATATCCAAAATTTATGAAATAGCCAATTATCTGAAATACCCGAGAAATGTAATTGATAAATCATTTAAAATTGCTAGAAATACTTTTTACAACCCAAAAAGGGACAACCAACCTTATTCAACTAAAAATATGTTGGTTCTCCCTTACCATGAAAACTTGGTTGATATGCCTTCTCTTCTTTAGACTAATATAAAATATATATATATATATATATATATATATATATATATATATATATATATATATATATATATATATATATATATATATATATATACGATATGGAAACACTTTTTTTTAGCATCTTCTCATAATAATTTAGTAACATGTATAAAATAATGAAATTTTGCTATTTTTATATTATGATTTATTATTAGTTTTGCTTATTCCTTTTTGCTAGAAATTTTATTTTTTTACAGATTTATCAAGAGAAATTAACTAAAATCCCTAAAATGACAAATCTGTCAGACTTTGAAAGAGGTCAAATTGTTGGTGCTGGTATGGGTGGTTGTAGCGTAACGAAAACAGCTGGACTTTTTAGTGTATCAAGAGGTACTGTCTCGAAGGTGATGACAGCCTTTGCGAAAGAGGGGAAAACCTCTTCATCAAAGAAAAACTCTGGAAGGAAGCAAAAGCTGTCAGATAAGGGTCGTCGAACTCTTTCACGGATTGTTAGAAAGGATCATAAGACTACAGCACCCAAAATTGCAGCAGAGCTTAATGAACACCTCCATAACCCAGTTTCCACAAAAACTGTAAGAAGGGAACTTCATAAAGCTGGATTTTATGGGAGGGCTGCAAGTAGGAAACGCTTACTTTCAAAAACCAATGTTGAAAGGCGTGTAGAGTGGTGTATAAATCATCAACAATGGTCCTTAGACCAGTGGATGAATGTCATTTTCTCCGACGAGTCATCTTTCACCTTATTTCCAACCTCAGATCGAGTATACGTGTGGAGACAGCCAAAAGAAGCATGTGATCCCGACTGTCTTCTTCCAACTGTTAAACACGGAGGAGGTTCTGTTGAGTTCTTGTTGAGTTTCTCAGCATAATGAAAAAAATGTTCATATAAATAGCAGACCTTATCAATGTCAGCAGTGTTACCCTGGTCCATTAGTTTTTTTAAGTGCACTTCCAGTTGTAAAGCCTCGTGGGAGATCTTAATATCATTGACAATTTATGGTGTATTTTAGAAAAACAAGTGAGAAGTCGATACCCTCCATTATCATCACTTAAGGAACTGAAGACTGTTTTAGCTGAAGAATAGACAAAAATACCCCTGGAATCTATTCAAAAATTGTATGAATCAATTCCTCGTAGAATTCAAGCGGTAAAGCCCCTCATGGAAGGTTCCTTGATGTTGGTGAGGGGCTCTTGATTTAGGGAATTGGATCTGTGCTCCAGTTCCCCGAATTAAGCCTGAATGCCTTCCACATCCCCCCCTCCCCTGGGCGCTGTATAATCCTACGGGTTTAGCGCTTCCCCCTTGATTATAATAATAATAATAATCAAGCGGTAATTACTGCCAAAGGTTGTCCTACACCATATTAAAATAAATTTGTTTAAAATTTGAAGGGGCTTCCATTATTTTGTCCAAAAAAATGCAGATGTAATATATACAGACTTTGCAAAAGCCTTCGACAAGTGTGACCATGGCGTAATAGCGCACAAAATGCGCGCTAAAGGAATAACAGGAAAAGTCGGTCGATGGATCTATAATTTCCTCACTAACAGAACACAGAGAGTAGTCGTCAACAGAGTAAAGTCCGAGGCAGCTACGGTGAAAAGCTCTGTCCCACAAGGCACAGTACTAGCTCCATCTTGTTCCTCATCCTCATATCCGACATAGACAAGGATGTCAGCCACAGCACCGTGTCTTCCTTTGCAGATGACACCCGAATCTGCATGACAGTGTCTTCCATTGCAGACACTGAAAGGCTCCAGGCGGACATCAACCAAATCTTTCAGTGGGCTGCAGAAAACAATATGAAGTTCAACGATGAGAAATTTCAATTACTCAGATATGGTAAACATGAGGAAATTAAATCTTCATCAGAGTACAAAACAAATTCTGGCCACAAAATAGAGCGAAACACCAACGTCAAGACCTAGGAGTGATTATGTCGGAGGATCTCCCCTTCAAGGACCATAACATTGTATCAATCGCATCTGCTAGAAAAATGACAGGATGGATAATGAGAACCTTCAAAACTAGGGAGGCCAAGCCCATGATGACACTCTTCAGGTCACTTGTTCTATCTAGGCTGGAATATTGCTGCACTCTAACAGCACCTTTCAAGGCAGGTGAAATTGCCGACCTAGAAAATGTACAGAGAACTTTCACGGCGCGCATAACGGAGATAAAACACCTCAATTACTGGGAGCGCTTGAGGTTTCTAAACCTGTATTCCCTGGAACGCAGGAGGGAGAGATACATGATTATATACACCTGGAAAATCCTAGAGGGACTAGTACCAAACTTGCACACGAAAATCACTCACTACGAAAGCAAAAGACTTGGCAGACGATGCACCATCCCCCAATGAAAAGCAGGGGTGTCACTAGCACGTTAAGAGACCATACAATAAGTGTCAGGGGCCCGAGACTGTTCAACTGCCTCCCAGCACACATAAGGGGGATTACCAACAGACCCCTGGCAGTCTTCAAGCTGGCACTGGACAACCAACTAAAGTCAGTTCCTGATCAGCCGGGCTGTGGCTCGTACGTTGGTTTGCGTGCAGCCAGCAGCAACAGCCTGGTTGATCAGGCGCTGATCCACCAGGAGGCCTGGTCACAGACCGGGCCGCGGGGGCGTTGACCCCCGAAACTCTCTCCAGGTAAACTCCAGGTATATATATATATATATATATATATATATATATATATATATATATATATATATATATATATATTATATATATATATATATATATATATATATATTATATATATATATATATATATGGGAGCTAATTTTATCTAGAGATAAGAAGGATACACCTAATGTATATTAATGGGTGTATTCACCTCAACATCTGTTATCAATAATTTTTATTTAATAAATGCAGCTCTCGTCCTTTGTGCATTAATAATATTATAATCACGGAAACTATAATCTAGGCATTTGTATGAACGTACTTCCCTAAACAGTATCATAGTAGCTGTGTGGCGGGACAAGAGGAGGTGGGCCGCTGCTCTGGCTACCGCAGCAGTAAGCGTTGGACACACAAGAGTTGCTGCCACTCCTGCAACGCCAGCTACATCGCACCATTATGAAGTCTTTAATTTTGACTGCTTTCGTCTTTTGTCTTTTTCTTCTGGTGCAGGTATGAACACTCTCATACATGATATCATATTTTCTTTTTTTTGCATGGCCCTGTCATTTTCGATTTTTTTTTCCAAAAAGAATATTCATAATTCTGTAGCTGCAACAATTAGCGAATAACCTACATACTGGAGATAGATCCTCTGACGACTAAGAAAAGAAAGGAGAATAAACCAGAGGTCATAACAGGTAAAGATGTTAGAAGATAGCCATGGGCCGTCCAGGGTAAGTCACGAGTGCTCTGAAGATTAGAGTATTTATCAGTGTATTGGGAGAGATAATCATCAGTAAAGAAAAAAGACCTGGACTTCATGTCATGTTTGGAATGATGCGTCTAAGTGCCGATTCTACAAGACGAAATCTGCAAGTAGGTTTGCCACCAGGCCACGTAGTACCGTCACGTACCAGGCAACGTAGTACCGTCACGTACCAGGCAACGTAGTACCGTGGCCTGGTACGTGACAAGGTGTCAGGGTGGGCACCTGTGACGAGTTTGGTTCCACAGGGGTCAGTCCTAGGACCAGTACTGTGTTCAGTTTATGTGAATGACATGATGGAAGGGATAGACTCAGAAGTGTCCCTGTTTGCAGATGATGTGAAGTTGATGAGGAGAATTAAATCGGATGAGGACCAGGTAGGGCTAAAAAGAGACCTGGACAGGCTACAAGCCTGGTCCAGCAACTGGCTCCTTGAATTTAACCCTGCCAAATGCAAAGTCATGAAGATCATGGAAGGGCAAAGAAGACCACAGACAGAGTATAGGCTAGGTGGTCAAAGGCTGCAAGCCTCACTCAAGGAAAAGGATCTTTGGGTGAGTATAATACCGAGCACATCTCCCGAGGCATATGGGCGCCTGGCAAACCTGAGAATAGCGTTCCGATACCTCAATAAAGAATCGTTCAAGACTCTGTACCATGTACGTCAGGCCCATACTGGAGTATGCAGCACTAGTTTGGAACCCACACCTGATCAAGCACGTTCAGAAATTAGAGAAAGTGCAAAGGTTTGCAACAAGACTAGTCCCAGAGCTAAGAGGAATGTCCTACGAAGAAAGGGTGAGGGAAATCTGCCTGACGACACTGGAGGACAGGAAGGTTAGGGGAGACATGATAACGATATATAAAATACTGCGAGGAATTGACAAAGTGGCTGGAGACAGGATGTTCCAGAGATGGCACACAAAAACAAGTGGTTACAATTGGAATTTGAAGACTCAAATGAGTCAGAGGGATGTTAGGAAGTATTTCTTCAGTCATGGAGTTGTCGGGAAGTGGAATATTCTGGGAAGTGATGTCGTAGAGGCAGGAACTATACATAGTTTTAAGGCGAGGTTTGACAAAGCTCACGGAGAAGGGAGAAAGAAGGCTTAGTAGCGATTAATGAAGATGCGGGGCCAGGAGCTATGAACTGACCACTGCAACCACAAATAGGTGAGTACACAATGAAGATGCATTTTGGTGATTAACCTAACAATTGATGCCATTACCACTGATATTTTCTTATGAAAGATTTTGGCCACCATAATTTTCATTTATTCAGTGTTATATATACAAGGAATCGTGTATGCAAAGACTGTGTGTTCTACGACATGGTAGTAGATGAAATGTAGTTTCTGGCGTGAGGACACGAGGATGATGGTATGGTGTAGTGGGGAAGGTAATGGTGTAGGGAAGAAGATGGTGGTGTAGTGAGGAAGATAGTGGTGTACTGAGGGAAACAGTGGTGTGGTGAGGGAGGTAGTGGTGTAATGAGGGAGACAACGGTGTAGTGAGGGAAGTAGTGGCGTAGGGAAGAAGATGGTGGTGTAGTGAGGGAGACAGTGGTGTAGTGAGGGAGGTAGTGGTGTAATGAGGGAGACAACGGTGTAGTGAGGGAAGTAGTGGAGTAGGGAAGAAGAAGGTGGTGTAGTGAGGGAGGTAGTATTTTAATGAGACAATGGTGTAGTGAGGGAAGTAGTGGAGTAGGGAAGAAGATGGTGGTGTAGTGAGGGAGGTAGTATTTTAATGAGACAATGGTGTAGTGAGGGAAGTAGTGATGTAATGAGAGAGACAATGGTGTAGTGAGGGAGGTAGTGGTGTAATGAGGGAGACAATGGTGTAGTGAGAGAGGCAGTGGTGTAATGAGAGAGACAATGGTGTAGTGAGGGAGGTAGTGGTGTAATGAGAGAGACAATGGTGTAGTGAGAGAGGCAGTGGTGTAATGAGAGAGACAATGGTGTAGTGAGGGAGGTAGTGGTGTAATGAGAGAGACAATGGTGTAGTGAGGGAGGTAGTGTGTAATAGAGACAGTGGTATAGTGAGGGAGGTAGTGGTGTAATGAGAGAGACAATGGTGTAGTGAGGGAGGTAGTGGTGTAATGAGAGAGACAATGGTGTAGTGAGGGAGGTAGTGGTGTAATAGAGACAATGGTATAGTGAGGGAGGTAGTGGTGTAATGAGAGAGACAATGGTGTAGTGAGGGAGGTAGTGGTGTAATGAGAGAGACAATGGTGTAGTGAGGGAGGTAGTGGTGTAATGAGAGAGACAATGGTGTAGTGAGGGAGGTAGTGGTGTACTGAAGGAGATAGTGTGGTGTACAGAAGATTATAATCTTTCTAAGAGTATTTTATTTTGTAGGAAGAAGTGGTTGGAGAGCAAAATCCGTTAAATGGTCAAAACAGAACAATTGTAAATGTGCGCAAGAGAGACAGAGGTGCTGATCCACACAACAATCATGGAAAAGGTGACGTAAACAACAGGGCAAATGATGCTGGAAAACTCCGTCCGAGAATCAGTGAGGTTAATGTTAGTCCTGATAAACTTATGGAAGCAGAAGCAAGTCACCGTGTCCAGAACCATAAAAAGAATCGTCAAATTAGGAATAAGAAAAGAACTGAAATTGTCAAGAATCGGGAAAATCGTCGCCATACCAAGAATAAGAAAGAACCTAGACGTGTGAAAGGTAAACATCGTCGTACCAAGAATAAGGAAGACAATGGTCG